ATTTAATGCCCCCTTGAAAAGATTTAAACATACCCTTTTAAAAGCCATTCATTGATGGGTGTGATTGATAAGAGCTGAAGAAAAAGCCATATTGCTGCTGGGAAGAATGCAAGTGTAAAGATCTGAATAAACAGATGCAGTTTTATATGCACCAAAGCACTGGTCAGCTCCTGGAAAAATAAGGACACAAAATAAACCCAGGTAAGAAAGCCATCTCCGAAAAGGCGTTGCTACTAACATAACATCACATTGCGTTAGCTTTTGAGTCTTTTCATGGCTGAAATTTTTATCTATAGGTATATACTGATGAGACAATTTCACGATGATTATATTTTGGGGTAAAATTTTTGAAGTATTCTAATTTCCTTCAAATATACAATACAGCCTTACAATTCAGACTTGTAAGATTCTGGACCAGGACTAAGCTAAACCTTTACAATAGTATAGATTTGAGCATTGTTGACAATATAAGCACATGTGTATGTATATCTGCATAAAAAAAAAAATCTTTTAAAAAACTTGTAACAGGACCTATCAGATTTAAATTAAATCATCCGTATTCATTATACCAAACCTATCAGGCCTCAACGTGGCAAGATGTTACTGAATCTATAAATAATTTTTTAAGTGTTTTCTTCAGTGATAGTCTCTGATTCAAAATAGCTTCCCCCCACCCCGTGATCTACTCACTAGATTCTTTGTGAGCATTTGCTGAATACCAATCATATGCCATGACCTGAGCTTATCATTTTATTTTATTTGTTATCTCATCTAATCCTCATCATAACCCAATTAAGTAGATAATATTGTCCCTATTTCACTGATGAGGAAATTGAAGTAGAGATACTATCCAATGCAGATCAGAATTAAACTTACTTGGGGCAGGCTATTAAACCCATGCCTGCTTCTTCTATAGTATGACATTGCTGCCCCAAGGGGGGAACAAATGTACATTAAACATGATAAACCAGGCACATGTTATGAATCTGACAGCTAAAGAAGGATAATTAGTTAACCTCTGGGGTTCAACTATATATAAACTTTAAAACATCTGCATTTGAATTTGTGTTATGTGGCTATTCAGTTGAATAAAAACAAATTCAGAGTGTAGTAGAAAAAGTATAGTCCTTTAAAAAAAGCCAGTAGTCATTAAAGCATATTCAAAGAAGCCAGAGACTCACTGGTTACAGACACGGAATCATAATGGCTCCCTTAGTTAAAGGGAGAGGTTCAAGAGATCCTCATTTTCAAGGACATTAGCCTAAATTTATCAGTTTAATAGACAGTAGGTCAACCCAAACTCATTCGCTAATTGGCAGGTTCTGAGATCTCTCTCACTGGTTCCCACTATCTCCCTGGGTGGAGACATATAAACAGTTACTTCCTTT